AGTCCATAGATCTTAAAGTTGCCAAGTTTGGAGGCCCCTGCTATAAGCTATCTGCCCACCCACTCACCCCTTGATGAGAAATAAATTTCCTTACTTAGGGCAGATATCTGATTCCATTCAATCAAGGGAGCCAACATACTGCCCACGATGCTTACTCTTTTGGGTGATTTATTCCCTATATTAATTTCTCCTTTATATTACTTCAGGAAAAGATATTCCATTCTCTTGCTAATGAAAAAGGAAATGTAGGATCCTTGCATTCTTCTTTGCGGCTGTGGCTGAACTTGAGACTAACGAGATGATGAACTTGTATAGATGATCCATGGCAACCCAGTGTTTGACGAAGAATAGTTGTTATATCCCAACGGAAAGAGTAACAATAGTGTGAGCAAAGAGTGTATGTGCCCATTACTTTAATCAACATTATCTTGGTCTAACAGGCTATTTCTGACATTTCAAACAACCACTCTTCTGGAGAGAGGTAACAGCTGTTAGTGCCTCTTGCATATTCTTGTCCATAGCAACCTAAACCACTCGCTGTCACCTTGGTGCCTTGAAGCAAGATTCCTACTATTTTCTGAACTTCAAAGCTTCCAAATGTGCAGTGGCCATGTGGACAGCCTCCATGCTAATTCCAGTAAGGCAGAAGTCTGCCTGGCTCTGTTGGATTTGCCCTCCTTATTCACAGTTTGAGATGGTGTGTTTTTTTTTTTTTTTACTGCCTTCTGAAAGCAAATGGCAGCACTGCGTACATGGAGGAGAAGGAGTGTCTCTAGACTTTGAGGCAATCATTAGATAATCACCTCTCATTATTAAACTTTAATTTAAATTGTGTAAAGAACAAACAAACTCGTATCAAAGGAGCCTCTGGCATTTTTCAGCACTTGATTAAATTTGAGGGTGTGGGGGTTGAAAGCCATGTAGACTCTTTGACTTATTTCCTCTGAGTTTCCATCTTCTGATTTCTCTCATTGCTGCAAGGAAATAATATGAATTATTGCTCAAGACTAGATCTTTCTTTTCAGATGGATTAAATTAGAAATATAGATTCAAAACTCTTTACCCATTGCCCCTCCATAGCGTGCCCCAAATTTATTCCTCATTGTTTCCCTTCCTCATTAATTTTTCATCAGCATGTTCATACATTTTCGTCCTTAATTCTTCAAGTTTTCCTATTCTGGGTTCTCATGTGTAATATGTAGCTTGTCCATCTTACTGTCAATCTTTAGAAAACTGTCCCTACATATTTCATTGTGGTACAGAGCAAAATTTGCTACATCTGAAGTTCATGGACTGTAAATAGAGGTTCAGAAGTATTTCTAGTAGAAAATTATTTGTGTGACATTAGTATTTGAACAACATACATGTTCCTTTCCTACCACTGATGTTTCAAAAAGAAGACTAAGACTATGTTTCATTTTACATTTCCCTCTTCTCTTACTTCAGTGAGAAATGTTTGAAAGGGGAGGAGGGGTATAGCTCTGGTAGGACTATCATCATGACAATTTCACGGAATACAAAGAATGACCAAACAGGCAATTGTCCTGGGAGGGTATATGAATTTGAAAATTCAAAGGTAGAGGTGGATAAAATTGCCCAAAATAATTGTCCATTGGTATAAAGCTACTTCAGAGCAATGCAATAAAGCAGTATGACAATACTAATCAGTTTAATATAATTCTACCTAGAGTTTAGCTGCTTCAGAATGATTCTGTTACCCACTCTGAATGAACACTAGGATAATTTTATATAGATACAGGAATATTATGTTAGATGGACCTGTAACAGTGCACAGTGACCTGTAACAGTGCACAGTTCCCTCCCTCCTGTCCTTCATCCTTCCCCTTCAATGAAAATGGGATTATCTACCCTGAAGGGAAATGATCAGCTTCTTTGTCAGGAATCAGAACCTTCTCATCCCATGAAATATATTTGTCCAATGCATATATTATTCAACCTAACTCCAGTTTTGTACACCACAGCTTACAATATAAAACATACATTTTAGCATCCATATAACTTATTCATAAAATTAAAGGTAAATGTGAACATTTTAAAGCGGTCTAATTTGAAAAGATAAATAGAAAGGTATATAAAACACAAAGTAATTAAAAGCCAAATGAAAGTAGCAAAAACAGAATTACAAAACCTTGTTAAAAACCTTGTCTTCCCCTTGTAAAGGACCATGAGGAAAGGCCCTTTGTTGTTGCTTGTCAGCTTTACAAGCCCTACTAGCAAGTCAAAAGATATCGCATCAGCAGGTTCATGAGGTTGAGGCTCAAAGCATCCAAAGCTCAGGCTCCTTCTTTGAATTGGATCTGGGAATGTTCTAGTAATCCAGGTGTCTGGTGTCAAACTGATTCATCCCTTTAGCTCCATCCAAGATGCAAGAGGCCATGTTTTACCTTAATTAAAATGTCTGAAACATTTTATTTTGTTTATTTTTTTATTTATTTGATTTGTCAATCGCTTACAAGATACAGGTGTAAGAATAAACATAGTTTTGAATACATGAGATAGATACTTATAAGAAAAATAAAAAGAAACAATAGGACAGGGACGGTAGGCACATTGGTGCGCTTATGCATGCCCCCTACAGGCCTCTTAGGAAGGGGGTGAGGTCAATAGTAGACAGTCTAAGGTTAAAGTTTTTGGGGTTTGGGGAAGAAACCACAGAGTCAGGTAGAGTATTCCAAACATCGACCACTCTGTTGCTGACCACTCTGTATTTTCTGCATTCAAGTTTGGTGCGGTTAACCTTGTGTTTGTATCTATTGTGTGCTCTTGTATTGTTATGATTGAAGCTGAAGTATTCATTTGCAGGTAGGACATTGCAATGTATGATTTTATATACTATATTTAGATCAGACCGAAGGCGGCGTAGTTCTAGGTTTTCTAGGTCTAGAGTTTCAAGTCTGGTGGCATAAGGTATTCTGCAATGAGTAGAGGAGCGGAGAACTCTTTTTGTGAAATATTTCTGGACTTTCTCAATTGTGTTAGTATCAGATACATGATATGGGTTCCAGACTGATGAGCTGTATTCAAATATAGGTCTAGCAAATGTTTTCTATGCTCTAGTTAGCAGTGTGATATTACCAGAGAAGAAGCTATGTAGGATTAGATTAACAACTCTTAATGCCTTTTTGGCTATGTAGTTACAGTGGGCTCTAGCACTTAGATCATTAGAGATGAATACTCCAAGATCCTTGACAGAATTTGGATCCTCAACAAGGTCTTGACTATTTAGCTTGTATTTTATTTTCTGAATTTTTTTGCCAATATGCAAGACAGAGCATTTATTTGTTGAGATTTGAAGTTGCCATTTGATTGACCATTCTGATACATAGTCAAGGTCTTTTTGGAGGGTAGTAGTATTGTCTGTGGTGTTGAATAGCTTTACATCATCACAGAGGTCATTTATGTAGAGTGTGAAGAGAGTTGGTCCTAAGACACTGCCTTGGGGGATATCACTGTTGACAGGTACAGAATTTGATAGGATGCTCCCAATTTTGACCATTTGTTGTCTGTTTGACAGGAATGCTTCTATCCAGTTATGCAGGTGTCCAGAGATACCATAAGATTTTAGTTTTAGGAATAGTTTGTCATATACCACTGAAAAGAAGGCTTTACAAAAGTCTATGCAGATTGTGTCTATTGCTTTGCCCTGATCGAGTTGTGTAGTCCATATGTTTTTGCAGTGTAAGAGTTGCAGATTGCAGGATAGTTATTTCTGAAACCAAATTGTTTATTGGAGAGTAGGTTGTTTGTTTCTAAGTGGAGGATGATGGATTGGCTAATAATTGATTCCATGACTTTACAGGTGACGCAACATAAGGAGATTGGTCTGTAATTTTCAACTAGGCTGGGGTCTCCCTTTTTGAAGATGGGGATGACCGTGGCTTGTGACCATAGTTTTGGCAAGGAGCTGGTCCTGAAAGATTTTGCAAAGATTATGCTTAGAGGTTTGGCTATGGCAGCGGATAGCTTTTTTAAGAAGTAGGCACATATTCCATCTGGTCCAATAGATAGGGGTGGTTTTAGATTGCGCAGTGCTTTTTCAACAATGTCTTCTGTAAAATTGATATGTATTAGATCATTGTAGTTGTCTGTGGTTTGACTAGGAAGTACTGGGCTTGATCCATTGCTGTTTACAAATACTGAGCCTCATGTGTTAAAGAGTTAAAGATAGCCGCTTAGGATGTGATAAATACCGCATACATTGCTGAAATTAGTTCTTTTTCCCCCCAGATAGGGATAGAGAAGATGGACCAACCAAGTTGGTAAAGACAGCTGCTGAATTATGCTTACTCAGGCAACATTGAATTAAGAAACTCATCTAAAATACAGAGTTGATTATGTAATCTTATCAAAGATCACTTGAATTCTGTATCCAAACTTTTCCCACCCACAAATTTGCCTGCATACATTTTTTGCTCTTTCTCCCACTTCCCCATCCATCCATCCATCCATCCATCCACCCCCAAACTGCCTTCAATCAACTACTCAAGAGTTTCATACCCTGCCTGGAATCAGGCTGTAGAAGGTGGAGTCATCTTCTACATGCTGATCCTGCTGCAGCTCAGAACTCCAGGTGACTTTCCTTCTTTAATTGGGAAGGAAGCTTGCCTTATCCCAAATAAAAATGCAAATTATCCAAAAAGTCAAGTTCGCAACAGATGACAACAGATTTTACTCACTGTGTTCTTTGAGTCCTTTGTGATTTTCTTTTTTTGTTCCAACCGCAGAATTTTAAATGATTTTTTTTATAATTAAAGTGTAATAAGTGAAAATGGCAAGTGAATAATAAAAGCTTATGGGAAAATAGGCCGTGCTGTAACAACAGAGACAAAAGAAAGTTTCTATAACTTATCAAGATGCTTAAGTTTATAGTTGGCTTGGCTATGTATCTCTTGGTGTATGTTGTATATTGTTCAATTTCATCATCTCCCTTTTTCCTCCCTCTCTCTCATTCTCTCCCGCATTCTTCTCTTTTTAACAAGGTACATGATCACATCCCTAGACCGAACCCACGCCGGCTTCTACCGCTGCATTGTGCGCAATCGCATGGGAGCCCTGCTGCAAAGACAGACCGAAGTACAAGTGGCATGTAAGTGCTATGAGCCCTTTCCTCCCAACGGTTTAGGAATGTGCAAGGCATCCTTCTATAGAACAAAGACAGCTACAAGTCAGAAGGGCAGCCAAGATTGTCATATTGCCTGAATTAATGTTTGGACCACTTCTTAAAAATGGAATAATGAGATTAGGATTTTAAAAGGCTTAAAAGGTGCAGAGCACATTATGAAGGACCTCTCCAGAGTGGAAGGAGTACTTCAAGCAAAAAGGAGAAAATTAACTAAGGGGCAAAGCTGTATGGAAGAGCATGTCACAGAATACCAAAGGAAATTATAGCTGATTAGTCAAACATGGGCTTTGATTCTGTGAGTCTGAAAACACTTTCACAAAAGAATCATTCCTAAGACAATGCAGGATAAAGGACAAAACTGCAGGACAAAATTGCTTCAGTTGCAATTTTGTGTTCTCCGTTTGGGGGTTTGCCTATTATTACATTCGTGTATGTCATTATTTTATTTTATGAACTTTTGGACAGTTTGGAAATGCATTCACTTGCCCCAAGTTGCTTTGCCACGTTAATCATGAAGTTGCTTTGGATTTCCTTCTGATTGCAAGCAGCCCCTATATTGGCTTCTCCATCAAAGTCAGGAAATTTTGCTAATTTCAATGATAAATTGTTAGGTAAGATGGCTATGGTACCTTATTTTAAAAAAAAAGAATAAACCAAAATTTATCCTTGGTCACTAATAGAATAATCAGCCAAGATCAGTCAATTAGTTATGTGACATTTGGATGATCCTTAATAAGCAAAGTTAAGTGAGAAATTTTGAGGGGCTAAAAAGCTGTTCAGCTGAGCCATGCAAAATAGAATTCGCACCAACAAAGTGGAAGAGAAAAGCAGGGAAAGTGAAATTAACAGAAAGCCTCTTTCTTAACAGGGTGAGTTATGAACTATATGAAAAGAACATCATCAAACCAGGACTTCTTTCACCTTTTTCAGATCACGATTAGAGGAACTTGCAAAGGACATCGCTCAGCCAACTGCAAAATTTTTAGATATCGGAATCATGAAAGGAATTCTGTAGCTGTGCTCTATATATTAGAAGTCACCTTCCAGGCTTTATCACACTTTATTAATCCTCTGTCAACAATAAGCTGACCTTTGATAGCTGTGCCAAATCATAGAACCTCAAATCACAAAAGCAATGTCTGCTTCTTCCATGCTGAGAGATTACATTTAAATGTCTTTTTTTTTTCATTTGTTGCTCCTCTTTTTAAAGCTCTTTCAGAGTGCACATCTTTATTTGTAAAAAATTTCAGTGGCAAGTAAGACCTGAATTTTTTTCTCTTTTCACATAATAGTTTTGACCTTTGGTCCCTTAAGATATTCCCTTAAGGAAGAAAGCTCTTGAGAATTTGAGGGTCATCAGAAGAGCCTGAAACTGGATGGCTAAATGAGCATAAAAGGGCTGAAATAGCTGTGGGAGGCAGTCAGCAGATTAAGGGGTAGATTAGTATTATAGCACAGTGTTTTTCAACCTGGGCAACTTGACGATGTGGCTGGGGAATTCTAGGAGTTGAAGCCCAGACATCATCAAGTTGAGAAATGCTGTTATAACACATTTCATTAAAGTTCGTGGAAATCCAGTTTGAGAAGCTCTTTCCCTGAAACGTTAAATCCTTCAGATAGTTTTTAGCAAAAGCAAGCCATTCTCCTCCACAACACTTTCTGGAAGGCAGGGAAAGTAAACAGCATTTATAACAATTACACCGCCATTGCCTGTCGCAGGGATAAGCTGCCCGTATAAATCAGATCTAGTCTCTCCAACATGCAGGCAAGAAGACTGAAACATTAATGACCAAGCTTCAGCCGGCTGAATCAGGCTGCTGGCACCTCTGGCAATTAGCGAGGGAAATCTTACACCTCGCCATTGCAGGGTATATTATCCAGGAAGGGAGGGATTTTCTCTGGGATAAGAAGTACTTTGGAGGACAACACTTTGGAACACAGGAATATTTATAAGACTTAAAACAGCCTTCCCCAGTCTAGTACAAGTAGTCCTCGATTTATGACCACAATTGAGCCAAAAAATTATGTTGCTAAGCAAGATATTGGTTAAGTGAGTTTGGCCCCGTTTTACAACCTGTCTCGCCACAGTTGTTAAGTAAATCCCTGCAGTCGTTAAGTTAGGTGAATCTGTTAAGTGAATCTGGCTTTCTCATTCATTTTGCTTGTCAGAAGGTCACAAAAGGGGATCACATGACCCCAGGATACTGCAAACCCTCATAAATGTGAGCCAAGCACCTGAATTTTGATCAGGTGACCCTGGGGAATGCTCATCGTAAGTGTGAAAAACAGTCATAGGTCATTTTTTTGGTGTCATTGTAACTTTGAATGGTCACTAAATGAATGGTTGTAAGTCAAGGATTACCTGTAACCTGAGTTTCTAGAAATGTTAGGTCACCCCACCCCCAAATTACTATCTTACATCCTAAAAGGGACTCTTCTCAGGTTGAAGGTTCAGGATTTCTAGCAGCTTCCTGCAAGTTACAGTCCTTTCCAAAAATTTCAAGCAAAACATGAGGAATTGCAGTTGCAATATATCTACTGAATAGCAGTTAATGGGAAGGGCTGATTTAATCTAGCTACATCAGAAATCTTAGATATGACTTGTGTGGGGAACCTGCAAGTATCCAGGTGTTGCTGAATTGCAGCTCTCAGAACCCCACTATTAAAGCTAATGATGAAGAATGATTGGAGTTGGAGCCAGCTGTATACGAAGGATCGCAATCCTTGAATTAGGAATAACAGAATAACAGAATTGGAAGAGGCCTTAGAGCAGTGGTAGTGTGCTACTGGTTTGGACTGGTTCAGCTGAACCAGTCGTTTTAAAAAAAGCCTCCAACGATCAACTGAGAGGAGGAAAAAAATCCTCAGACAATCAGCTGAGAAGAGAAAGAAGCAAAAAGCACAAGATCAGCCTTCCCACCAGCCCCTGCACTTTTCTCTTCTTTATCCTCTCAGCTGATTAGCGCTACAGGCCTTAGCTGGTGCACTACAGGGCTTAGCTGGTGCATGCACAATCACTAAACCGGTAGTGGAACAGGTAGGATCCCACGGCTGTCTTAGAGGTCTTCAGCGCCCCTGCTCAAGCAGGGCAACCTATACCATTTCAGACAAGTGGTTGTACATCTCTTCTTAAAAACGTCCCATGATGGGGCAGCCACAACTTAATTCCACTGAATAATTGTTCTGTCAGGAAATTTATCCTTAGAAAAAGCAGTGTAATGAAACTTTAAAGAAGCAGGTAGAACACTCAGTTGTGGGGAGGGAAGGCGGGAACTCCCCTCCCGGTTCTTTTCAGCACCATGGAACTTATGTTCGTAAATAACTTGGGACAGGTACATGAGGCAGTTCTACATTTATTTACTTTCATAACTTAATAATCTAAGTTTTCAAAGGGTCAAAACTAGTCCTAATATTAGGCAGAGCAAAGGGAACATCTCAGGCAATTAATTTTGTTGATTCCCCCCCCCCTTTTATTCTAAAAGAACAGCAACTTATATCTTGTCAGATTTGTTATGGAAAGCCTAGCTGGTGAGATGGTAAAAGAATCATTCTAGAAACTGGGAGATTATAAATTCTAATCTTATCTTAGACACAAAGACATCTGGGTAATGTGGGGGCTGCTCACTTTATTTAGCCCTTTCAAAATGCCAAGAAAACTGCAGAGACCTATCCACACAATATACCAGATGTCAAGACTGAGTCAAAAATATAAAAACAAAACTATTACAGCTGCATTCATGGGTTTCTTTTTCTTGACGCAATAAGGTAGCTTAGCCAGTCTTAGGTAGGGCCTTCAAGGAAAGCATGGCATCAGCCTATATGGGAAACCTTCTTTTTATAGCAAAAGGCTCAGACTGGCAGCATCTGTCAAATCGACATGGTGTGAGACCCTCAGAAGCCCAGAGAAGAAGACTTGCTGAGGCAGAAGAAGAAACTTCAAGAAAGCAACAGTGGAATCGGAATCTTAATTCAAGCTTCAGACATGCTTGTTGGGGCCTCTGAGACTTTCCCTGTTCTTATGCACTAGAGCCCAGCTGTGCCCCTGTTCAAAGAGGGATGTCATGCAACTAAGTCTAGCCAAACAATCTCTTCTGCAGAGAACCAGGCATAGGTGAAAGATCAGACTCAGGAGAGCTTCCCAAGTAATAAAAATACTGCTAGGAATTGCCCTCTTGGCTATGGCAGTGACATCACAGCAGTGACACTTCTACCTTGTTTCATTCTCTGTTTCCTGTCCTGCTTTGAAGTTACCCCTCTGTTGTTTTTCATCCTGTAATTGCAAGAGTTTATGTTGTTAACAATTCAAAATCCTGACTCAGAATTCCAGTAATAATGAGTCACTTCAAAGGTACCAGGAGAAATGAGAATTCTGGTTCAGGGGGAAAAAAGCAGAACTGATGTATGGGGAATTAACATTCATTGATACACTTCAATATAAAGAAGATAAAGAACGAAGCCTGTCATCTTCTGACAATGTATTCCTCTATCATAGTGAGTTGCTGCTGCACTGTTACGCTACAGATATGGAATGGCAGAATCAGTTTCCCTATTGTGGCGTTTACTCTCCTTTGTGTACTCAGTTATTTGCAGCTATAAGAAGATAATTGAAGAAAAGACTTCATCAGAAAAGACAGCTATCTCTCTGGTGCGTGTGATTTTGTTGTTTAAGGGCTGTTCTGCCCCAGCTTCAAGCTTCATAATGAAGTTGAATGTGTGTGAAGCCCTGAAGTTGATATCTCCAAAGATATCTCCTTAACTTCCCTCCTGATGTTCCTTATTAGATGTAATCCCAAATTGGGAATCACCCTAAGTGGACTTGGTGCTTCATCAGCTTTCTTCAAATGAAGATGTATGAGCCAATGATCTCTAGTGCAAAAGAAAATTAAAATAAAGAGAGCCGGTGGAAATTGTTGGGGAGGAAAGGGACATCTTGTGGCTTTTAGTGTGGAAATGTTCTGCAAAGATTCAAGATTTAGTGTGCCAATTTTCAGGACTCTTTGCCTTTGTGTCAGGCAGAAAGATATTTTTCCTTCTCCTGCAATTGGGAAAAGGAAATAATTGCTGTCAAAGATTGGGGAAAGGCAGATCTATGGGCATCTCCTAACCTTATAAATCAGTTTCCACAAACCGGGGGAAAGTGTTCCAAACGTTAAAAGACAGTTTTAAGAAACTAGTGTTCCTGGGGCCTCAGCCAGGCACGGAGCCTGAGGGGGTTGCTTTCACTTCCACATTTCACCCTTGGCCTGGGTTAAACCCAGCTCTTACAGAGCCTGCCTTAAAATCCCACTCTCCCTTCCTGTTCCAATTTTGCCATTTCCCCTTCCCCAAAGCAGCCCCCTTCTCCAAAGGTTGATGGCAAATCAAGCAGCTAATAGGAAATTAATCAGGCAGCTGTGGTGCTGCTAATGGCCAAGTCGTTAAAAAGAGATTCTTTACACATTTTTAATTACAGCAATTAAATCAAGTCAATAAAATGTCTGGGTGCCCCCATCCCCACCCCCGTTTGTCATTAGTACTATTATTATTAAAGGTGCTATAAATTTCCTACCCACAAACAGCTGCGGCCATGAGGAGGCCTTGACCTCCATCCCTTCAGCAACAAGGTTGCCGGTTACATTGTGTGAGGAGAAGAAAGGCATCCCGCTGTAGGTACCCATGTCTGAAAGCTATTTGGCCATTTTTAGGGGTGAGCGAGAGTGGGCATACAAGAGGCACGATTCACAACAAATGTCTACCAGCAGTAGAGGAGAATGCTCTGAATGTAGAAGAACAAAGCTTTGTTTGCTGGGCCTGTCTGTAAAAGAGAGTTTGTTAACCACAGGTCAATGCCAGTATAAAGCATGTGAAACATTCATTTGTGTGGCTTTTGCTCTAAAGAATCTGGAGAGGCACCTTAATAACTGCGTTTTAAAGAAGTTTATTCCCCCACTACAGCTTTTGGCCGCTTCTTACGATACAATTTTTTTTCCCCCAAGAAGCTATAGAAGGCATGTTTTATTGTGTCAGCTGTGAAGGGTGCTCATTCACATATATAAATTGCCCCCTTTCAAAGAACACACATGCAGCAACTAAGAATGGTCCTGCCATATTACTCCCATATATTTTGCAAGGAGAAAACTGTCATTTATATGAATACCCTTTCATACCTTGTACATGACACAGACTTTTTGGCACTTAGCAATCCATTGCCTCCATCAAAATAGAACACAAAGCCACTTGCCGTGGAAAGAAAAGACTAGACTTCCAAGGGTAGGAATGACCTGGGTCTTTGGGTTTTGTTAGCTGTGGAAAATTGGAACTTCAGGTTTTCTATCCAGTTTTTGTCCTTTCTTAAAAGAATATACAAAGGGCACATTCTGGTATATTCTTGCCTGGAATGGGGTGGGTAATTGGCAGTCTGGAAACTGCATGCATCCCTAAGAGAAATACTGTAGTGCCCCTCAATGCTGTGCTTCTTTTTTTTTTTTTAACCAGTTCAAACATAGTTTCATTAAGCTTTTCAGCAGAGTTTCACATTTATTTTATGTAAAATACACAAGCCACTACCCCCACTCCAAAAGCTGAAAATGTTCGGTATGATTACTCCAATAACATCACTGCAACTCTACAGTGGCCCTGGTGATTCTCTTAGAATCCTCATGATAAAACTGAAGATCCAAAGAGCGACGGATAATGAGATGTAAACTTCATTGAGTATCTTCATACAGTTGTGATCCATCAGGATGTATGAATGAACTCTTCTCTTCCATGGTTTCAGGCAGGGAACCAAAAACAAATTATGAATAAGCTGCTAAATATTTAGCCATCCATGATTTAGGTCTTCCCCTCTCTTAATTATTGCCTGGTCTTACCTTATCTTGAGACTTCTACATTCTCATCCTGCCCTATCCTAGTCCCATTGACTGCACATATACAAGTACTCCTCGATTTACAGCAGTTCACTTAATGACAATTTACCACGGCACTGAAAAAGTGACTTCAGATCATTTTTCACACTTATGACCGTTGCAGCATCCCCATGGTCACATGATTCATATTCAAATGCTTAACAACTGACTCATATTTATGACAGGTGTGTGGTGTCCTGGGGTCATGTGAGCCCTTTTTTGCCACCATCTGACAAGCAAAGTCAAGGGGGAAGCCACATCTAATTAACAACCGCATTACTAATTTAACCACTGCAGTGATTCACTTAACAAACGTGGCAAGAAAAGTCGTAAAATGGGGCAAAACTCACTTAACAAATGTCTCACTTAGCAACAGAAAGTTTGGGCTCAATCGTGGTTGTACGTTGAGGCCTATTTGTACATGAATTCCGGCATGCTCAAAATGTGAAAGGTGTCAGCGTTCCAAGTAATACACCCGTAGCAAACAGAACTCTGAGGCAGGTAGATTCCTCAAAGCACACTTTTATTTGGAGATATCATATTGGCACAGACTGGTGAAAACCAACTCTGAGAGTTCCCGTGGTTTTCACCTAATTAAAAAGTGACAAAAAGTAAAACAGGTAGACTCTGAAGTGCTCTTAAACTGGCAAATGTCATGTCTTATTATATTCTGCTTCTTCGTTCCTTTACCAAGGTGGATATCATGGAGGTACACAAACGCATGCACACTTTAAGGCAGTGGCTTACCTCACTATATCGTATCTTGGTGGCTCAGTTTATTCACTGCTGTTTTTCTCTCCACTCTCCCGACATGCACCCTGACCAGACATGGGAAGCTTTGAAGAGAAAGAGAAGCAGCAGAGCGTCTGCCACGGTGAAGCTGCCGTCATCCATGCTCCCCGCATTGCCAGCTTCCCTCGTCCACAGGTCACGTGGTTCCGCGACGGGCGCAAAATCCCTCCCAGCAGCCGCATGTAAGTAAAAATAAACCCCCAAAACCCCATTCTATGAAAAATACTGAGGTAAAAGGTATTTCATAGGATGGCTGGATGCTGCTCGCTTTTCTTGGGAGTAGGATCTTACAAGGGGGCTAGCCAATATTGGTGATAGTCCTAGAGAACGTGGAGGCCTTTGCGCCTGAAAGACTGGAGAAGTGGCCCTGAAACAATGCCACCTTTGGCAATTTTCAGAACTCCTTATACCTGCTCTCACTTCCCTTTCCACCTGGGAATGCCTTGCTAACTACTCACCTGCTATGGGAGTTGTATCCATTCTGCCTCTGAGGTACCGGTAAGCATTATTTGCACACCAGTTCCATTTAGGTGGCTTGGCTGAAAACAACCATAGCTTTCTTTAAATTACCACTATACATTATTGTTCCAGGTGATGACAAGTGATGATTCTTATGTTCATGCCCCAATGAGTGGAACTTTGACCTGGAAGATGACTACAATAGTTTATTTAGTGACTGTTCAAAGTTATAATGGCACTGGAAAAAGTGACTGTTATGACTGTTTTTCACACTTACAACCATTGAATCCCTGTGGTTGCATGATCAAAATTCATACCCTTGGCAAATGACTCATAGTTATGACGGTTGCAGTGCCTCAGGGTCACTTGATCACCTTTTGCAACTCTCTGACAAGCAAAGTCAATGGGGAAGCCAGATTCACTGAACAACCATCTTACTAACTTAACAACTGCAGTGATTCACTTAACAATTGTGGCGAGAAAGGTCATATAATGGGGAAATCTCACTTAATAAATGTTCCACTTAGCAACATAAATTTGGGGCTCAATTGTGGTAGTAGGTCTAGGACTGCCTGTATTTCTATTGTTAATGGAAGAGTGTGTTTCACCATTAGTATGTGAGCCAACTCTACCCCTATTCCCCAAAGCCAGTAAATAACAAATAACAAAGTAGTAAATCTGAGTAGTGAATGTGGGCAAAAAAGAACAAATACTATAGGTGTAATAACTTACTCGTATGTTGCATTTTAAACTCAGTGTTTCCAGCTCGGTGTCCTTGCTCTCTTAGCAAGCACCAAAGTGTGCCTTTCTTACCTTCTCCTCATTAGCTTGCTCTACTGTTGTGTTTCTTCCAAGAACCCTGATGGTTAATGAAGGTACTCTCAGATCCAGAAACATCAACAGGGTGTCTAAAACCGATGCTGAACTCTTGATAGGTGAAACATGGAGTGAGGGTGTGGGAGCAGTCTGATTATAGTCAGAAGTACAATTGGCTGATAAACTAATAAAGCTGGGGGAGTACAATCTGGCAACATGTGCAGCAATCAGTCTATAGTAGGCCAAGATGCAGTCCTCCAATCACGAGATACATTTATAAACGAGACTCAGAATATGGTCATTAAAAGAAGTAACCCTCATCCCCAGCAGAAAGTCATGAGGGAGACGCATTAGCTGCCCTGTTTATCTGATGACATCCTCGTCACGTCTAGTTTTAATGGAGAAAATGCAAGGGGATGCAGCCGAATGTGTTCTTGTTAAACTAACATTAAAGATGTTTAACAGATGTCTTAGACTCATCACATTAAAATCTGGAGATAGACTTGATAAACTAATGGCTTTGTTTATCATGGAGAAAATGAATTTAAGCAAGAGGGTGCGGGGGGAGAGCTGTAAGGAGGGGCATCTGCTCATTCTTACAAGCTGTAATGTTCGATTCAGGAAAGTAGGGGAAAAATTGCCAGACTCTCAACCTAGACAGAGACATTCGTAGAGAGATGCAGCAATACCCTAGCAGCAAGAATATTTTTTTAAGAGTGGAAGTTTTACTAGCAGCTACCTTTCTCTTTATATGCTTGCAGACATAAAGGGGATGAAGGAAAGGGGTATGGAGGCCAGTAACACTAATAGTAACACTAATCCACATATAAGGAAAGTATGACATTGAGAAAATGGTACATTCACTTTCGGTATTTATTCCACAATATATGAATAATTATGCGTGTTGCTCCAGATAGCTAGTAGAACTTTGTTCTTATGAGCAGCATCTATCCATATTTGTTCCATGGAATCTTTCACAGTCTTCAATCAACCAATCAGAATAGAATTGGAAGGGACCTTGGAGGTCCAACCCCCTGCTCAAGCAAGAGACCTTATACCAGTAATGGCGAACACAGAGCCATTTGTGCTGGCACACGAGCTGCAGGAAACTTACCTCACTGCACATGTGTGTGCCTCACAGCTGATTTTCGGCTAGTTTGACATCTTTTTCAACCTCCTAGAAGCTTGAAAAAAAGCCTCTGCAGGTCAAATAGGCCCGTTTCATCACTTCCTGTAATACCGGAAGTGACGAAACGGGCCAATTCGGCCTGCAGAGGCTTTTTTCAAGCCTCTGGGAGACCAAAACAGGCCTCAAGCCAGCTGAAAATCAGCTATGAGGTGCAGTGCAGGTAAGGGAAGAGCGGCAGGGGGGCAAGGGGGGCCGGCAGGAGGATTGCACACGCATGCACAGGGGGTGGGGGAGCACATTGCTTTCTGGGTGCTGGCATGCGAGCGCATGCACAATTTTTGGCACAGGAGCCCAAAAAGTTTAGCCATCACTACCCTACACCATTTCAGAGAAATGGCTCTGCAGACTCTTCTTAAAAACCTCCAGTGATGGAGCACCCACAACTTCTGAAAGCAAGCCATTCCACTGGTTAATTGTTCTCGCTGTTAGCAAGTTTCTTCTTAATTCCAGGTTACTTCTCTCATTGATTAGTTTTCATCCATTGTTTCTTGTCTTGCCTTCTGGTGCTTTGGAAAATAAGCTGACCCCTTCCACTTTGTGGCAGTCCCTCAAATTACTGGAACACTACTATCATGTCACTCCTAGTCCTTCTCTTCTCTAGGCTCACCAAAACCAATTCCTGCAACGGTTTTTCATATGTTGATCCATTGGCTCCAAATGCAGTTTAGCAATCAAAGTTAAACCATAATATGTGGTGAGATTGGTCAGTTCTTTCACATAGACTACTAATAGGAGTGTACTGGTGAACACATTTGCAATAGGCTCTTGTCTCTGAGGAGTTTCTTAGGATGCTCATTAGTGCAGCCAGTATGAAAGTGGACCCTACTTCATTGTAGCGAATGAACTACTGAATTGCCTGGCACAGAACAACTGGTGTGAATGGAATGTAGAAAAGAACTATATAAAATTTCCTCCATAAGCTATGTTTGAACAAGAGAATGCCTCATTAAGGCACTCTCAAGGCAAAACATCAGAAAGATTGCTGTTGTAATTCTGGACTAATTTGTTTATAAGCTATGTCTCCCAAACACAATAAAAGCTGATTCATTTTTAAAATATTGCTGATGGAAACATGCTTGTTTCTTTGTGGCTGTAGAATCATTTACCAAAATAGCAGCTCTGCAATTAACACTTTGACTCCGTCTTCACCTACCTTGATATCCTGTTTTGTGTGATCTACCCAACTATCTTCCAGGAGCCAAAGTGAAAGCTGCAATTACAGATGTATGCAAAAATGTTTCTTTGTATTCTCTACTAGTCAGGCAAGTACATCTTAGCTCTATCTCTGGGTCGTGTGTAATGGGAAAATTATCCTGAGTTTCCCCCACATAGTGGAAATCGTACTTTTATTACTGTTGGTGTTGGTAATGGTTTCAAGACATTGAAGAAGTGAAGAATAGAGAATAATTTACAATTAATGACATATTTCTTCAGGAGCATGAGAACTCCAAGAGGCAATTCAGTGATGCGATATTGGATGGTTCTGAATGTGTGAACAGTTAGATTGTGGTTATCACAGTCTTGGAAGAGTGTAACGTATTGTTTCCCACCCAAAATTACCTCCTAGCAAAGAGTGGAAACAAGAAATATGTGATCAGATCTTCTCAGCAGTGCCAACTGAGTGTCTCTGAATAAGCAATTTGTATCTAATGAATTTAGAACCTTGCATATATTACTTGGTTCATAGAGAGCTCTCATTCACTTGAGAGCAATAAACGGTATATAGACAGATAAATGACCACACCCTATATTCCACAGCTTATTTTTAATGTACGCACAAAGCTCAGCATATTTAGTTCCTTATAGTTTCAAAACAATGTACAAGCAGAGTTCTTAATTAGCTGAACTCCCATAATATTTCCCCACTGGGGTTCATCTGACTCCCACCCTGGCTGCATTTTTTTTTTTAAATCCCTGAAAACATGGCTCTTCCCACAGGCCTTAGATTAGAGAGAGTGATAGGCCCTGGATATTTTAAAATTTAGATTGGTTATTTTCTTCCAAACATTTTGAGGTTTTTAATTTTAATTTTATTATTGCTTTTATTGTATGCCACCCAGAGTTTGTTAGAGTTAGATAGCCTTATGAATGCAAATAAATAAACTTATTTCTGTAAAAAATAAATTAGCTTTTGTAGTGTATTCAAATAGAGACTTCTAAGTTGATGTTCCTATTGGTTAGTTAATGCAATGAAACGATTGGCTAATAATGTCAGTATCGGATTGGCTGCCTAAGTGGCGGGAAGTTTAAATAAATGCCATTGGTTGCGAGCCGCGAGCAGCCGCTATAAAAGGGGCTGCTGCGGCTCGACTGCAGTTGAAGTTACTGGTTACTATTAAAGAGCTGAATTCAACTCCGGTCTTTGAGTCTCTTTACTGGCGATAGAACAGCTTTAGTGTTGTGATTCCCTGTCTCTGCTTTTCCCACAATTAGCAACATCCAGATTTTGGATTTCACGATGAAAGGGAGATTCGAACAAACATTTTCTTATATCTGTTTTGAAGATATTGTTGCACTAGCACACATAATTATTATTTTGTTTGCCGTCATTAATCTTTTATGTAGTTTTGTTGCATTTGTCATTTGCTTGATTTTTTTACTATTATCGTGGTCCCATATTTGTAAGCTGTTTAAAAGACTCTACTTGGAAACAATAGATGAAACAATAGGTGCACACGATAGAGTCACTTCATTACACCTTATTTAATTCTCTGGCAC